TATTCCCAAATATAAAAACATCGTATTTCCAACCATGTTGCTTTGTTTTTTATACATTTTTCCCAGTTATAGTTTCATACGTAATTCTAATCTCCATTCTATAAACCTAAGTCTTTGCTAAATCCTTTTTTTGTTCCAACCATCAATAATATTTGTCCCAGACCTTATAATATTCTGATGTATCTTTATTCTTCAATTCCCACGTCAATTTATCCATTTCAGCACAAGTCAGAATTTTCCTAATTATTTCCTCTTCTTGTGGAATCTCCCTGTTTTTCCAGTTTTGGGCAAAGACCATTTTTGTTGCCTTAATAATATGTAATTAATACAATTAAATAACCCCCTTATTATATTTATTGTTTGTGATTCCCAAAAGAAATAGTTCTGGTGTGAATCCTATTTCCTCTTCGGTTATCTCTATGAGCTACCTTTGAATTTTCCGCCAATATTATTTTGGTTTTTTTGCCACGACCGCCACATATGGTAGTACGTGCTTAATTTATGGTTACATTTCCAGCAATTTGGCGCTACAGAAGTGGGATAGATTTCTCATCTATGTTGTTTCCCATGGAGGGGATGATCAGACATCGTCTTAAAGGAATCGGGGTGGGTTGGGGAGATCAGGGGCAGGTCTACAGGTAATCCTCGACTTATAACCGTTCATTTAGTGGCCGAAGTTGGTTCACCGACAAAAGGGCGACCGACAAAAGGGCAGCCGACTAAACTGCAGTGATAAAACCACGAGTTCTGAACTGCGCCGACGAATGAGCGACCCGAACCGTGTCGCTAAAACCACGACATCATCAACGCGCCGACAGAAGGGCGCTGTAAACCTAAAACTAACCCTAATCCTAACGCTAACCCTAAACGTAACGCTAACCCTAAACCTAACCCTTACCTTAACTTAAATCGCCCTTCTGTTGACACGCTGTTGTCGACGCGCTGTTGTCGGCGCGTTGATGACGTCGTGGTTTTAGCGACACGGTTTTGTCGGTGCGCTTTTGTCGGTCGCCCTTTTGTCAGGTCACGACCGAAGTTACAACCGCCCTGCGACAAGTGACTTTTTTCACCCTTACGACTCCTGCAAGCACCCTTACATGATCAGAGTTCGAATGCTTGGCAACCGACTTGTATTTACGACGGTCACCGCCTCCAGGGGTCAGGGGAATCATCTTTGGTGACCTGCTGACCCGCAGAGTAAACGCGGGAAGCCGGATTCGTTTAACGAACCCTGCGACTAACTTCACAGCTGTGGCGATTCACTTAACGGCTGTGGCAAGAACGGTCCTGAAATGGGGCAAAGCTCACTTAACAACTGTCTCGCTTAGCAGCAGAAATTTGAGGCTCAGTTTTTTTTAAGCTCCCTTACAGTTTAGGGTTAAGGGGATAAGAAATAAAAGTTTGGTTTCCTGGTTGAGGCACCAGGCTAGAAA